CGATAGTGTGAGATATTAAGGATGTACGACCTAACTTGTCTTTCGACGAAAGAGTTGTAAATTTAGAGATCATATTCTCTAATTGCCTTTGTTCGGAACTAGATAAACTAGTAAAATCCTGAATAGCACTAAGTAAGGATAGATTAAATTGAGAAATAGAAAAGGAAAAATTAGAACAATTTAGTGTGCTATTAAAAGCATTTAAGAAATCCATACCTAAAATTATAGAATTCTGAACTGAAGGAATAATATAGAATGTAATTTGTTTACATAAATCTGCTACTGTGATTTCAGTTTCAAATTTGCCTGTAATAGACTAAACTGTACCATCTGCAGTAGACACTTGCAGAGAAGAAATGGGCATAATAGAAATCTCAGCATTTTTCAGTAAAGCTAATGAATGTGAACCTATCACAGAAATGTTCGAGCCACTATCTAAAAGAGCTAAACAAGATTGTCCTAAAATCTTAATAGGAAGATAAGGTCTATTATCATTATGTTTCTTTACTAATAATGAATTTAAATCAAAACAATCATTATCTGATTGGTCAAAAATTTTAAAAGGTGTTAAACTAAACTTATTGTCTCTACCTACACAATCAGAGGATGCAACAGGCAAACAAGAAGAATCAGAAATAAAAGAATCCTCCTGAATTGTGGTAGACTCTGGTATAGATATTGGAACTACTACACTGCTACTATTATGTCTATTATTAAAATTTGGGAAGATATTTGGGGAAGATAATCTATGTAAATCCGATGTATTATATTGAGAAGTTACTTCTTGGAATGATTTGGTGTGGTGTGTGTTGGTTTTTTGGAGACAACCCCTTTCCCTTTCCGACTGGAAGATGGGTTTGGGTGACTTGACGTGGTTGGACCAGTGACTTCGTTTGATGTAACGGTTTGATTCCCTGATGGGGGTGTGGACGGAGAAACGCTCAGGGGACGGACCTCCGATCGTTCGTTTCCCGAACACCTAAAACAATTGCGTTTGAGGGTATTTTCTTTACCACAACCGTGGCAGAAAATACGGGTACGAGGGATGCCGCAATCATAAAAAGTATGGCCAGACTCACGACAATTCCAGCACACTACAGAACTAATAACTGATATATTACGTTCAGAGCCCTTAGGTTGCCAAGAACGGTGTCTAAAAGAATTTTGATGACCGAAAGAGTCAGAAGAGTGTTTAGAAGTGGTTGGAGGTTGAGAAGACCAAGATAAAGTTTCCTCCAAACGTTTACACTTCTCGGTTATGTCTGCTATACTGGTGATGTCTACTAAAGCTAATTGCTGATGATAAAATGGCAGTAGACATTTGAGGATGATCTTAATCTTTGCAGAATCTGTCAGAGGTGTTTCAAGGCGACTACACATACCCAAAATGTTATTTATAAACATCGTAACAGACTCGTTTGGCTTCTGTTTACGATTTTTGATTTGGTCTAGAAGGTCATCTTGAAATGAATATGGTAGAAAATCAGACTTGAGTTTCTGAGCCAAATCAGACCAATTAGAAAAATTATTGCGGTTGTTTCTAAACCACGTAAAAGCTGTGCCTGTAAACAACTCAGCAGAAGCTGCAAAAAGATCCTCCTCACTCACTCCTCTCGATATGCGAAGACATTCCACCCTATCCAAAAAGGAAATAACCTGGTCATAATGACCTTCACTAGAAAATGTAATGCCCCATTTATGTACCTGAACAGGTTTGGGGTGAAGAAATGAATTAGCTGCTTGGGCTGAAGAAATAGGGGTTGAAGTAGCAATTGGATTCACTCGTGAATCAAGTTCACCCTCTAGGCTAAGAATTCGGATTGAAATAGAGCGTTTGTAAGTTTGCTGCTTCTCATTCGAACAAGACAATAAATGAATACGGCCTGAGACATGAGCTAGACGTGATATCAGCCTGGAGTATAGGCTATCTTGGACAGTCCCTCTAAAATCGGATATCCTTTTAGCCAAATCATCCATAGTCTCATCAATCTCTTCTTGTTGTTCCAAAAAGGGAATACTGGTGGCAGAAATTTGTCGAAAGCTCCTATTTCCTTCTTCTTGCCTTAGAGCTCCACGCAATATCTTGCGTTTTAAATCCACATTGGAAGACGCATCAATGGGAATGTCCCTAATTCTCAACTCATAATCTAATTCTTTAACTAATAAATGTTCTACCTTGAATGCAGACATTGTGAAAGAAAACAAATAGATGAATAGGTAGAATAGACAAGGAGATAATATACTCACACTCCACAAAACCAATCGAATAGTAATATAAAGTTTTCAAAAAAAATATATAAGTAAATATGTACCAACACACCACAAAATCAATCCAAAAATAATTTCAAGTTATTCACAAAAATTTCAAAATGGTTAAGTAAGTTAAGTAAATATAAACACAATCCTTGAAGCAACACACAATGGTTTCAACAAGTATATGGTTAACAAATACTTGAATATAAAAAATTCACCAATATTGGCTAATATATATATGTATAAAAAATAGTAATATCTAAATTATTAAATTCTTAAAGTTCAATAATAGTAAGCTAGATAGTTAACTGTACACAATGAGATTAAAAGGTGAGGGTTTAAATATGAATATAAGTAAACTACAGCAATATAAGTATATCTATAAATGTAAATCTAATAAGAAAAACAATAAATAAATACAGAAGTTAAAAAAAATGAACAAAGAGCAACAGGAACAAATTAGAAATAATAAAGAATATTTTGCAAAGAGAAATATACTTCAGAATGTACGGTCTGAACTGAGAAAAGGCACCACGTTGGGAACGCCAATGTAACAAAAATGTATTGGCTGGAGCGCCAATGTAACAAAAATGGGTTGGCTATAACGCCAATATAACAAGAATGGGTAGTGTAGCAATAGGGTAAACTCTAAAATGTACCTTGATACACAAACGGATTAATATCTGGAATAACAGAAGATGGAAGGGATTAGATAGAAATAAATTATATGAAAGAAATAAATAAAGGGTAAATATGAATTTTAAAATATAATAAAAATAATGTTGGCTAGCGACTATGCAGGAGGATGACCACTTGACACTCAAGAGGGATTAGGCCAATTTGCATGCCCTACAGTGACCGTAAGATGTAAGAATTAATGACTAGAAACTACCAAGAAATACACAGAAGAAAGATAAAGTTGCTCTAATGAATATTTGGGCGCCAGGAAGTTAAATGGTTTCTTCCGAGATATCTTGTATTGCTTAAATATTAAAGGATAGGTACCAAGTGAAATATTGAATTGTTTTAACCCAACTTTAATAAACACCAATTTTATGTACAGACTATTTTAAATACTTATCTATGACCCACCACCTCTTATGTACAATTAACTAATCTATATTTACAATGAAAACCCCTGAATGCAATGATAAAACAGTTTCCCCTTTCCCAAATGTACCTATTTATGTGAAATGTTGACTAAGGTTATGCAATAGTTATATAAATATAATATAAAATGAAATATATAATAATATAAATGTTACAATTATCGAATAAATGAAATAAAACCTCTCCGGATATGTGTGCACACTATAACCTGTTAACGAGAGATTCCAGGGGAGTTACAATCTCAACCCTTGATGAATAATAAATGATTATTATTAATAAAAAGTTAAAGCCTTGAAGAGGAAGTTAAAAGGTATTATTACAAATTTACACTGACTATTATTTAAAAAAATGAATATGATTATTATTAATAAAAAGTTAAAGCCTTGAAGAGGAAGTTAAAAGGTATTATTACAAATATTTAAATGAAAACAACAAAAAATAAAACTAGTTTTTCCTGCCGGTTTCCTTCTCGGTGGACCTGGGAGGTGGTCCGGATGAAGAACTAGATGCAGGTGGGTAGAGGTCCAAAACTGGACTTCAATAAAGGTACTGAGACTTTTTACTCTTTAAACTAAAACCATATAATTCTTCCCCTGGTGCTTAAATCCCCATAAAATTAAATTAAAAGTTTTCTCTTCCCCCAGACTTGTCCTGGAATCCGTAACTAGGCTAAAAAACACAGTTGTGTTACTACAAGGTCCTTTGTTTATACAAGAACGTAAAGAAAAACCAAAAAATATCAACACGTTGCTTCAAATTGAAGCAAAAACTATAATGTGTTTCTTTAAAAAAAATAACCTTGGGACTGTATGAAAATGTTTGGATATATTAACTAGGTAATTTTAAGGAACGCCTGGTATATAGATTATAGAATCGAAAAAAAAGTATTAGCCGGCTTAAACGGTATGGAATTATAATAGATAATTGTTGGTTTTCATACTTGTAAAGAAATAAAATTATAAAAATTTATTACTTGTAATCTGTTGAGGTATTTAGGAAATAAATGGAATAGTTAAATAGACAGAATGTATTTTGAAAGAGGATTAAAGAAATAGATTTAAATTTCACCAACAATGGCGGATGATGTGACATGTTTTTATATATAATTTATTTATAATTTAAAACTCACCGGCTGTGGTCCAAACTTAAAGTGTTTTCCCAAAACAACAAAATAACAAAAAGGCTTCTTCCAACACAACTGATTTTCCAAAAAAAATAAAAAAATTAAACCAAACTCATGGAATAAAGATGGCCCCCACAGCCGCCTCTGAACACGTCTGCTCACTTCACGATTCCAAGACCAAGTAACGAACACACGATGTTACGACGGAAACGAAGTAGAATTTTACATAGAGGGCGCAACTTGCTGCCAACTTTTAGGCATAAAATTTACTGAAGTTATTCAAATGTTTGGTTTAAGAATGTTTCCAAATGAATTTAATTTGTAATTAAATTAAAGAATTCCAGTGACAGGACAGTAAGTGGGTATTTAAGTAACGGACTCGTTACAATGGCTCTATGGATGGCTCTATAGATCGAAAGTGATCAACTAGTAATTAAATATTTTATACACTTCAAAATTTATTTCTTTTTTATTCAATCTCAATATTTTTTATTTTTATTTTTCTAATTTGCAGGATACAATAATCTTGATCGATACATTGGGTATAACTTGGAAGATACCAAATTATTACTTAAAGATCTGGCTATATTCCAGTCAACTGTCGTTGCTTTAAAAATTAAAGAGCCCGATGTATTTAACAGAGAGGTTAAACCATTTTGTAATAACTACATGACAAAAACTGCGGATAATCCATTTAAAAAAATGATCTTGGTTATTGAAGAAATTCTTGCAGAATCAGAAGAATTTAAACAATTTATTCCAAAGGTAAGTTGCAAAAAAACATTATTTTTAAAATGATCTATTTTAAAGTAAATGTAACACCGAGCTAAGCTAAGATTAATACCATTACTAAAAATGACAATAACCTCAACAGGCTTCATTACTGTGCCTAGATTTAGACATCCTCTCTGATGGTTTTTCCTTGCTTTCGAGTTTTCAGGCTCCCGAGTCTCAAAAACTACTACACTCATCACTAATCACTGCATTACTGCTACTAAGAATAGGGGATGGTTTGTTTATTCCGTCGATGGTGACATGGTTTGAGTAGAGGTTGGGGCAGGGGTTGTGGGGGTTGGCGTCAAAGTTGGCGTGGTAATTAACGCGAATGTTTCTGACCGTGGGATTTTGATATTTGGCGTTAAAAATTTGGCCTTTTTTAAATTTCTATGGCTTTTCGGATAATTCTTGGTTTATAGAAGAACAGAAATGGAATTTTTATTAATCTTATTTTGGATTACACTATTTGATTGGCCTATGTAAGATCGGTGGTAGTCTGCACAAAGAATTTGATAAAATTTGTGTTGCTCAATGGGAATATTGTCTTTAATCCTCTTGTTTTAATAATTTTGTCGATATTGACAGTGGCAGCTTTGATGCAAGCAACAAAAACTTTCGTATGATGACGGTCTGAACCTTTGAGTTGAGATTGAGTGTAAGAATAATGTCTGTGGATATTCCTTTTGATGTGAGTTTTAGGGTAACCATTCTTGATAGGGCTTGTTCTAAACTAGAGAGCTCAGCGTGGCTACTTACGTCATCGCAAAGGCGTACTGATCTAGAAACAACGGTAATAATGACTAAATTCAACTTGTGAAGAAGAATGATGAAAGTTGGCATGCAAGTAACGAATGGCATAGTTGGGTTTTAGATAAACAGAGTAATGAAACCTTGGTATTGGTTTTTCTTTATGATAACGTCGAGAAACGGTAGGAATATATTATTTTTCACCACCATCTTAAACTGGATACTGGGATGTATACCGTTCAGATATGAAAAGATACTAAGAGCATCCCTGACGTGGGGCAACATGTGGTTTTGAAGTTTTGGCCAAGTACTTAGGCCATGGCTATATAGAGCAGTTGTATGCATTAACAGTGGGGTGTACAGGAATATCGGGTTTGTGAATTTTGGGTAAACCATTTATTCAAGATGTTCTAGAAGACTTTTTACAAGAAATTAGAGATTATTCTATGAAACAGGAAGAGAGGTTTTATTGATGATGACTTTTTGTATTTTCTTTAGATAAGTTAAGTAGATAAATTGGTCTATAGTCTGGAGTGTTAATCAGATTTCAGAGTTTATTAATGTAAAAGAAAGTGTTTAGTATGACGGTGGTATTTTCTTCATTCTTTATTGGCGGGAAGAATGAATGGATTTGGATTTGACTAAAGTCCTTTCTGGCATTTTTTCTCGAAAGCTAATATTCAAAGTAGGAGGATTTAAGTTTCTAAGAATTCTAGCGATGTTTTTTATAGTTATTTCAACATCCTGTGAAGGTAAACTGGAGATGGTTTCTTCAGCTTGACAAATGATTATCTCATTTGAAATATGACCCGGAGTAACAGAGTATTTGAAACCTTTTGCTATAGCTTGAGTGGCAATGGTATAAATAAGTATATGAGAAAAGTTGTAAGCCACTGTAGAGGGTTTCAAAGTTGCAGGTTTTGAAATTTGTTTGGCAATTACATACGCTAATTTGCGCTTCTCTGAGTTTCAGTCTTTGATTCGAAGGTATTTAGGCTGTCTGTAAGTTAATACGGTCAAAAGTGTACCATAATATAGGGGGCACATTAAAAGAATAAATAGATAAGCAGATATTAAAAATATTGATATTTTAAACACCTAGTTTTTCACTAGTGGAATAAATAACTTTACGGAGATACGAAACATTAGTCCTTCTATAAATTTGAAAGCTAAAAAAGAGATATTGTGTTATAATTTTGTAACTTTGTGAATGACTTGCGAATGCTAAATCACAAAGAAGACGATTATTAGGTAGCAGCAAATACGATTAAATAATTTGGTAAAATTTCTCCTAATAGAGACGGATGAACTAATAAATGGAATAAACATTACAAATTCCTTTTAGTTTCTTCGTAATAAGTCAGCTGAAATAAAAAAAAAATCGTTAAAAATCCCTAATGCTGCAAGCTGGGATGATATACCATCTAAATTTTATCTCATCATTCTGGTAATGTTCGAACAGTTTTAGCGGAGGCAATTAACATGTCTTTTCCAACAGGTCATTTTAGTGATTGTTTAAAATTTGTTACTCTACTGTAACTCTTTGTTACTTGCGCTTTTAAAGTTTACAGAAAAAATTTATAACAATTCTAGTGGTGAGTTTCTTATAAAAATGCACTTTACTTTTTTTTCCTTCCAATTGGTTTTCAGTCATTAAAAAGTACATATTATTATGATACCATCTTTAAGTTCATGAACAAACTATACTTGGACTTAAGTAAAGAGTATGTTCCTGCTGTAGTTTTCTATGATCTATCTGAATAAAGCCTTTGACAGTGTCAAATAGAACATACATCTTAATAAAAAAAGCGATGGTTTTAGAGGCACTTCACTTACATGGTTCAGTTTTTACTTAGAAGACAGATTTTATGACACAATTCTTAAATTGATCTCATTGCGTTCATTTATGTTATTGATAAATTTAAATCACATGTAATTAAGATTATATTTAATACGTAAATCCTCCTTCTTAATATTTTCTTCTTCGTAAGGATGTAGTAGCGTCATGTAATTTGTTTACCTGTTTCTGTCCAATTATCTCTCTCCTGTGAGTGTTGTTTTGATTCAGAGAATAAGTGACCAGTCATCTCTTTTATTTGGTCCGACCATCGTACTAAAGATCTTCCTCTGGGTTTTTATCCGCTGCGTTATCTTCAACTATCATTCGCTCCATGTCTTCTCTTCTTCTAGTTATATGTCCAAAATATCTCTTATGTTAAGTCTAGTTTTTATGTTAAGTTCTGCTAGAATTCAGTTATTTGTGCGATGGGTGGTCCATGGTATGCGCAACATTCTACGGTACACCCACATTTTACATGCCATTATACGCTTTGAATCAGTTTTTTTTATTGTCTTAGTTTCTGAAGCATAGGTGGTAATTAGAAATATCAATTCTCGAACAACGCCTAATTTTGTGTTTTTTGTGATGTCAGCGCTTTTTCAAATTTTTGTGAATTTGGCTGTTGCCGATCCGGCCATTGTGTGGCGTCGACGGATCTCGCCTTCGCATCCTTCATTGTTAGTAATAACGGAGACTAAGTAATTAAATTGCCTGACCTCTTCGTAACCTGCCATGATTCTTATCTCTGCCTGGTTGTTTCTGATTCTATCGATGATTATCACTTTGGTTTTCTGCATATTTATTTTAAAACCATATTTCGTACTCGGAATAATCCGAGACTTCCATATTCAAACATATACCGTGAATAGCCCATTCATAATTTGTTCTAGTTCTTCTGGTGATGATGTCAATATAACAGATTTTTATCAGCATAACTTAGGTTTTTGAACCTCTTTGAACCTGAACATCTTGTTTATGAACAAGCGGCCACTTTTCTAAAAAAACACTCTGACCTAATGGTATTAACTAGTGATAAAGGTAATGCCACAGTCCTTATGATGAGAGAGCAATACATTAACCTGAGCCAGCAACTCCTAGATGATAGTAAATACTATCAACCACTTCTTCGCAATCCCACTTCTACCTACACCAACAAAATCAACCGATATATCACTGAACTAAAAAACAAAAAAATTATTGACGATAAACTAGCCAAATCCCTCCATAATTACAATGGCTATGCTCCTAGATTTTACTGTCTCCCCAAAATTCACAAACCACAACTAAGTATGCGACCCATATTATCTTCAATAAATGCTCCAAACACGAATTTAGCTCAATTTCTAACGAACATTCTTTCACAAGCATACAATTATAATAATGACGTCAACATAACAGATTCTTTCCAGTTCAGTGAATTTATTAATAATTATCAACTACCCAGAGGCTTTGTCTTAGTAGTTTTGACGTAGTATCCTTGTTCACAAATCTTCCACTTTCCAGGGTATTAACTTCTCTCCATAACCATTGGAATCAAATCCAACCCCACAGTCCGATGTCTCGGGAAACTTTTTCCGAATTATTAAAATTGATTTTTGACACCAATTATTTAATTTTTAACGACAAATTTTATCGCCAAATTTTTGGAACTCATATGGGATCCACGATTTCTCTTATTCTAGTCAACGTTGTTCTAGACGATCTTATTAATGAGAGTATCAAGAAGTTAGATTTCCAGGTTCCCTTTGTAAAACGGTATGTCGACGATCTGATTTTAGCAACCCCGTCGAACAAGACGGACGACACTTTATCAGTTTTTAACTGCTTTGATCCTCACCTACAATTTACTTGTGAATTGGAGGTTGAGAACAGTATCCCGTTTTTAGATATGCGAATTATTTGCACTCCAGATAACAGATTAGTCACTACCTGGTACAGAAAAGAAATGGCTAGCAACCGTTTCTTAAACTACCATTCGACACATCCCATCAGATATAAACTTAACCTGGTACAAGCCCTCAGCCTTAGAGTACACATGTTGACACATCCGCTTTACAAAGAAGAATCTCTCAATCTACTGAAGTCTATTCTCATAGATAACTCCTATCCGGCATCCATTATCAATAAATTTCTATATTCCAAAAGCTATGGGCAGTCCATCACTAAAACACCCAATGGGCTAACATTAGCGTCCATTTCTAACAGAATACAAATGAATGAGTCCCCTCTCACTCCTGAACAAACCATAAAATATGCTTCGCTACCGTACTTCCCACAAATCACGAACAAGATAATCAAACTTTTCCAAAACTTACCTGTCAAAATAGCTTTAAAAAACACCATAACCGTAGGAAAGTTATTTTCTTAGACAAAAACTCCATTGGCCCCTCTAGAACAAAATAACGTCGTCTATCATGTACCCTGTGCGGAGTGCAACTCCTGCTGCATTGGCCAGACCAGCCGTTCTCTTCAAGGTCGACTAACGTCTTATAAAAGCGACATTAGGATTTCAAAACCATCCTGTGCCCTTGCACAACATGCCATTTCAACCAAACACAGTATCGACTTCAGTAATACCAAAATACTGTGCAAACAAAAAAATTATCATAAGCGATCTATCCTTGAAATGTGTCAAATTCTTAAACATCCATCATCCCTAAATAAAAGAACCAACATCGACAACTTGAGCCAGATATATCACTCTCTCATCATACACAACAAATATAAAAAAAAATTAATTCCTCTTCTTCTTTCCCTATTTTAAAAATTTTTTTTTTTTGGTTTTTTTTTTGTTTGTTTGTTTGTTTTTTAAAGACAAAGGACGAGGATAAAAAGAAAAAGAAAAGGAAAAGAAGGGAAAAAAATATTCCTTTTTAAAAATAGGGCTGTCCCCGTTCTGTTTACTAACTTTTTTAATAATTGTACCTCACTGCTTGCCAAAGAAACACATGTACGACACATGCCACATGTGCAAATATGACAGCCTACAACCGATAGAAAACAATCCAAGAGATTATTGTGTTGGATCGTCGAAAGAGCTTACACCCACATTGAGATGAAGCCATCGGTAAAAATTAAATAAACAATAGTGCTCTTTCAGTTTTTTCTTGTGTGTTTTTTGTTTCGATTCTATCTTTTAGTTTTAAAGTTTTTTAATCTTAAGTTATCGTAGAGTGTTTTTAACATCTTTAAAAAAACCTACAAATTGTTTTTGTAAGTATGAACCCTTTTGGTTATTTACTTATATTTTAAATCTTTTTATTTTTATTTGTAGTGAACTGATGATGCTTTTGAAAACAAAAAAGCGAAACGTATTCAATTAAATCAATGAAGTAGTTGACGACTTTCATTTGCCTATTATTGACCGATACAACCTCTGCTATTCAACTATTGAATATATTTTAAATATATATATATATATATATATATATATATATATATATATATATATATATATTGACAATAGCAATATAATATATATATATATATATATAATATATATATATATATATATATATATATATATTGACAATAGCAATATTATTTACATATAGTTTTTGTAATAAATATTAGATGTTCGGACGTGCACATTTTTTTAAGTATATGCCACAGTTTATCACGTTTTGTGACATCGAAGGTCTTGGAATAGTCAACAAAGTATACATATATTTCTATGTTAAACTCGAGATTTTTCGATAATTTGACGAATACTAAGAATATGTATTCTTTATTTGAGTCTTTTATTGATGACGGTTAGAAGTACTTGCTCGATGTGATATAAAAGCTACCGTACGGTAATTACTGCAATCTGTCGGTGAACCTTTTTTATATATTGGAATCAACGTGAGTTTACTCCAGTCATTTGGCTACTTTCCGGTTTTCCAGATCTCATTGCAAATTATAAGCATTACTTTCGTCCGTAATTCTCCCATTTCTTTGAGTGTTATTCAGCTGTTATTCCCTCTTTTCCTTCTGCTTTTCTGAATTTTAGCTTTGGCAACCTCAAATTTTGATTTTAATATTAAGGGTTCTTTTTCATAACTTCTTCTCTCTGTATTATTGTTAGAGAATAGTATTTCGCAATATGGTTTCAACATCTCTGCAATAACGTCTGAATTTGTTATGGTATTTCCACTATTACCTTTGATGATCTGTGTCTGCGGTTTGAATTTTCTCGCTAGATACTTAACTTTCGAGAAAAGTCCTGTATAAATATTCTTGGCGGTGAGCATGTTTCGCTAGTTGTACACATATGTTTTAAGATAATTATTTTTATCCTTTCTACCCAAGTGTTTTATAGTTGTATTTATGGTGCAAATCTCTATTTCTTTTTGTTTTGAATTAGATGTGGTGGGTCGAAGATTTCGTCTTTCTTCTACAAGATTGAGAGTGTCTTCAGTCATCCAATGTTTTTTCCTAGCTGTATTGTCTTTGGAATTAGTGTCGTTGATGGCTTCAATGATCCATTTCTTTGTGTATTCCCACGTTTTGTCAGGATCTCCGGTAATCACTGGTAGGTCAGCTTCTGCTAATGCTTCTCTAAACTTTATCAGGTGCTCTGTAATCAATTTCTGTCTTTTATTGGTGATTTTTTTTACTTTATAACTCATGTAATATATTCTTCTTCTTCTTCCTTCTAGTATGTAGGCTTTAAAGCATGTTTCTTTTTCAATATTAGCCTCCTAAATTGTTTAAATTGTCGCACCATCTTTTTCTGGGTCTAGCAATACTTTTTCTTCCCTTTGGTGGCTTATCTCGTGCTATTCGTACTATTCTATCTTTTGCTATCTACCGAAGTGTTCGTTTAACTCCTGTTTTCGTTTGATCACCCATATTTATGTGGTCTATATTGCTTGCTTTTCTTATGTTTTCGCTTGCCTCCCTATCCAATATTCTTCCCTGATTTTTGTTTTCGTCGGAGTATTTTATCTCTGTTTTAGATGTGTCAGGTCTTGTCTCTGCCGTGATTGTTAATATAGGTCTAATTGCTGCTTTATAGATTCTTGTTTTTGTGTCTTATCTTAGGTATTTGTTCTTTCAGCTGTAATGTAGTTTGTGTAATGTAGTAATTAAAAAAACCAGCCGCTTTACTTGGTTTTTTCTGCTGATATGTGCTATTAAAGATATGTGTTAATCTTTGGAGCTCGTCTTCTGTCTCGGCGATTAATGCGGCGTCGTCTGCATAACATAATATTTGGATTTCTTTGTTCCCCATTCTGTAGCCATGACCTTTACGTACTGCTTGTATTATTAAGTCCATTATTATATTAAAGAGAAGTGGACTCGACGAGTCACCCTGTCTGACTCCGCTTTGTACTGGCATACACTGCGTTATTTTTCCATTTATCTTTGCTGTATTCGATTATAGAGGTAAATGTTTTCGATGGTTTGTATAATATTGATTGGTATGTTTCTTTTACAGTAGGTGTAAGACGTCTTTGACTTGGATGCGATCGAAAGCCTTTGTCAGGTCTATAAAACATAGATATGCTGGTTTTCTGTGATTTGTTTTGGTGCAAATACGACGTCAACGCAGTAGAAAATACAATTTTCCTAGTTATCTCTTTTAAACAATCGCTTTTCTTTGGCGACCTGCTTTTGATTCTACGAGTGTGCTAGCTAAGTGAAGGTTTTATTGTAGAAATAAAAGTATTTAAGTCCAAACTATTAATTACTGTTCTTGTTTTTAGGTAAAATTAGCATGGAACAAAGCAGAAACCAAAACTGAAGTAAGAGAACCATTTGCAACGATTGTCCACCGTGACCTCTGGCTCAACAATACAATGACAAAATACGAAAGTGGGAAACCACCAAAGAACATGTTTTTTGATTTTCAACTGTACGATTACGGTTCGCCCGCTGTGGATGTTTTAAATTTCATATTTACCAGTGTACAGACAGCGGTTTCTAAAAAGTATTTTGATGATTTATTACACCATTATCATTCACAATTTGTGTCCAACTTAGAACGTTTAAGATGCAATACTGAATCGTTTAGTTATATAAAATTTCTGAAAGAATGTAAGATGGAGTCGGAAATAGTTTTAGGCTGGACCATGGATTTTGTTAGCTTGGTGGTGTTTAGTAAAAAAGGCCAAGCACTTCAAGGCGACATCAATTTTGAAGATCCTGCATTTAGACAAATAGTAAAGGACAGGATGATGCCAGAGGCCAAAGAAAGACTGTTTTTTATAATAAGTCAGTGTCATAAATGTAATTGGTTATGAAAATAACCGATAGATGTACAAATTGTTGATTCGATTTTATTTTATTTAAATTATTTTTTGAATGTGTATTTTAAATTTGTTTAGTTTTGTGGTCTTTATTTTTAGAATCTTTTTAGATTAATTTAATTTTTATTTATATTTAAAAGTTGACTCTCTAAATAAATGTATATATGTTATAACTCTGTGTAAACCATGTTTTTTCTTCCGTTATATTTATTTAAAGACTTCCACAGTCCCCTATTGCTGCTTCCTAAATCAGAGTTAATAGCATAATTAGCAGGATAGCCTATATTTTATAATTCTGAAACAATTTTAAATAAAAGATTGTGTGTAATTTTTTTATCATAATCGTAGAATATCGACTGTTTCCAGTTTCACCATATTTCATGAGTCATAATCACTAGCACATATTGGCTAGGTCCTCAGGTTGTGTCCTTCTTTTTAACATAGTCATAAGAACTTTAAATTTTCATTTCATCAAAAAGTAATACATATACTCTTTCCATCGCTGAGAGAGAATTGTTTTTTATTAGAGTCAGCACTGTGTTAAATATTCCTGAAAATTAAAATATTACTTATTACCCATATAAAATTAACTACTAACTGATAAGTATTTATGAAGAATCCTAGAATTATAAATACCGGGTTGAATGTGTATTGTACTCGCCCGTTTTCTGCCATGCAGTGAAATAGCCGAAGCAGTATCATCAACTTTCCACTTTACTTGCTTGGTCAACTTTAGTTTACGAAGTTATCGTTATGTAAATATTTTTTTAATTTTATTCTTTTCTTCCCTTTCTTTGTGAAGTAATTGTTGTAAAAGTTTATTTTCATTTTCAAAAATTCTAATGTATTCAGCTGGATCATTTTCACTAAAATGAAAGATTGTTTAAATACAATTAATATTTTATTATTCCATTTAATACGTTAACGTTTGAGTGGAAACAGTTCTGTTTATTTTAGGAATGTTCTCTTTGTCTCCTTCATTGCCATTGTCGCATTATATATGTACTTTCGATTGTGTTTCTACATCGACTGATAGAACCGTCAACCGTCAACTAGGAATTCCCTATTCTGCCTTTTTTCTACTCGTAAACATCGTTTGTGTTCAGAGAAGTCTGCGCTCTTGGTAATTTCAGTAAATAACGGAAAGGTATTGCATCACGTTTTAATTTCCGCTTATGCTGAGGCAAACGCAATATTTTTTCTCTCAAACAGAAATCGTTTTCCACAAAATGGTTCGAACATATTCTTGCAGTATTTACATTAAACATACATAATATGTTGCTGATAGCACTTCACAACCCATTGCTCGCGAACTTGTTTCTCTTTTGGAAATCTGAAGAAACGCCAATCTGAAATAACTTTGCTATTTTTATTGTTGTTGCTGGAACAACCCACCACTGCACAGAATACCGTAATTAAACGTTTAATTTAATATTCTTAAATATATTTTATCTAAAAATGCACACATTTATTTGTCAACGTACTAGATAAATGATAAAACAATACTAAATCTAACAAAACTCCATACAAAACAGAACATTTGTCGCCAAGTGACGTCACACGTGCAAAAGAGATTGACTGATCGCGTGCGCGTGGGTTTATCTTTAGAAGTTCATAGTATCATGATACTACTCGATATTCGACAAGAATCGAAGCCGAAGGTCATTATCTGAATGCTTGTTTAGATGCAACGTTGCACAATGGGCCAAAATTTAAGTAAAAGTGCCCAAGAGAATTATTTGAGGACAAAGTCTAAGATAATTGTTTAAAAATAGTAAAAGAGAAAAATATTCCTTTATTTAGAAAAAATAAGTTAATTCGTGTGCCCTTAGAAAGAGATTAAAGTACATTAGGACAACATTTAAAAATAAGTACTTTCCCACCTCAATAAGTACATATGGTCACCGTAGATATAACGTGTATCTTTGCCTGTTAACTTTTTTGACTCTTATTGTTTATCTTTGTGTAGAGTTACGGACACGGTTGTACTACCGTAAATATTCGCAATCTGTTTGGAGTACCGATAATCTATACGAATTTCCTACAACGCTGTCATGCTGTTTCGTATCGAATGCTTGGCCAAATTGAACGAAAGTTAGTACCAATAATTAATTGTATTCGATGGATTTTTCTTAAGCCTTTTTTGCAATGCAGATGTTGGTTGATGTTAAAGTTTTTCCTAAAACCTGCCTGTTGTCTAGGTTTGAAAAAAATATAATTTTGTGTTTAGTCTATTTGATATTTTTCTTGTGAATAACTTGTAGAAGTGGGCAAACAGGCTTATTTTCGAGGTCTTTTGATATATCAGGCATCAATTCTGATCCTTGGTTGACTAATATTTTTCCTGAGTTTTCTAACTTTTCTCTTAGTAAAGTTGATCATCACGTTTTGTTAAATTCTGTATAATTTTGTAAAGAAATCTACTACTCTTAGTAATTCATCTTTGTTGGTGATGATATTTCCACCTTTATTCTTTAATTTCATTTCTTTTTTGCCATTTTGAAATGATAATGCTGTTGATATGGTCTTATTTCAAATGCATTTATATTATTAGGCTTTGTCCATGTATGTGTAGATTTCCTTTTGGTCATGCGATATCTCTCTTTCCAAGACCTAATTTCTAACGACGCTTTAACCATCCTGTTGTCAGTACCTGTTAAAACTGGTTTAGGACTGTAACATCTTTAAAGATTTGCCTCTTGTAAGTGATCATAAATTCGATCTTGTTCTTCATAAAATCATAAAGTGATCATAAGTGATCATTAAATCGATTGTTTTTATTCGGGCTCTACCACGTCGATTTACGATGTTCTTTTGTGTAGAAGAAACTGTTTATTTGTAAAAAAAAATTAAACAGGAAACTAAGTAAAGATTCAACGCGCTCGTTCTTGTCAGCCAAATAAAATTTTCCAAATGACGTTTCTGTCTTATCTGCATTTCTCCTGTTTAAGCATTGAAGTTAGCACATAATATTAAGTGTACTTTTGTATCGTTTGGGGCTGGCTAAAGTAATATCATCTTAGAATTCTTTTATTTCCTAACTCACATGGCCACTTGTTGGAGCATGTACTTGGACAACTTTTAAACTATACCTTTCACTTAGTTTAAGGTTAAAGAAGCTACTCCAGTATAGAAACTACTTGTTACTGATATAATGCTTGCTAATACTGTGTAATTGCTTTTTCTTTTTGCATTTTGTTGTTATTAATACATTTGCTTAGGTTATTTTTTATTCTGAAAGCTGGTGGTACTCCTTTTATATGTGTTTGGCTATTTTTGTTGATAATTTGCCTATATAACTTTTATTCTGACTAGCCATAACATATATGTAATCCAGCACACTGAATTGGATTTTTTCTCTGGTGGTGGTAAGAGAGATTTTAGGGCTTTCTTGTGCAGTTTCTTTTTAAATTTCTTTATTGTTTCTATGTTATCCCCACTTTTTACTGTTATTTGTTTAATGATATTCAATTGTATCGCAAAATTATTCTATGACATTAGAGTTTCTGCTAATTCATGTTGTGTAGGACGAGATACTGAAATATGTATAGTTTTGTCAGTATGGGTAGGTTTATGAAATATGGAGCTTATTCTGTGCGCAACACGGTTAACACGCAACAGAAAAGGTTAACAACCTTTTTATGCACATTTTTAAGTTAATTGGTTAACCTTTGCGTCTATATCCAGACACTGGGTATCTTTGGCCATTATTTTAAGTAAATTCACCCTAAGACAATCTGATGGTACATAGTTACGACGAAATTATTATTGAGAAGATAAAATATATCTGTAACTTTATTACTTTACGGAACATAGTCCTTAGCTGATTCCTGGTTTTCGACTTCTGTTGCTCTTCATACGTCATTATAAAAAATGCATGTTCTATCCATAAAACATTGTAAAAATATCTCGTAGTTGCCTACCTTCTAAATTCGCTAGTAGTCGCCTCTCTTTTTGCCATTATAACAACATAAAACACGCATATAGTCACAAAACTATTAAGGTGGTATGTCACAATGTTAAAATTTATATACTTTTTAGGTACAGTTATCGTCACTATTTCAAAACCAATCTTTAACTTATAACTATGTACGTGAACTGTAAACTTTCTATTTTAATGATATCTAGTTAAAATTTCCAAAGAAAGCAGTATTTTTTTTATAACTGTACCTAAATGAATCCATGTCATAACTTACGTGGTAACGTGCCTAAAAATTGGTATTGTGTAATAATTTTTGAACTTAGGTACAAAATAACTACTTTAAATGATTAACTATCCAAAAACCTTTATTTTAAGCGAATGTTCGTTATCTATAGTGCCGTAATTTTTAAATTAACTGTACCTAAAGATAAAATTACAATAAAAAGCTGCAAACTAGGGATTTTGTTGATGTCACCGTTATAAGTTGGCATTTTGCTAGTGAGAAATTAGTTCCGCTATCACTTAATAGATGTGAAAATAAGTTCACGTGTCATTTAGTAGAAGGCAGCAGTGATGTATTAAATAGCGACAAATGCGTGTTTGCCAAATTTAAGAAAAATCTGCAATACATTGAAACCTAGTTTTGTGGTTATGCCAATTGTCTATTTGTTGTGCAGTAACCATGGTAATACGAATCACGTGGTTGTGTTTAGCAAAGCGGCCCCTACCAGTTAATATTTTGGCTTCGTTTGACTGTCAATTATCAATCATGATCGCATAACGTCACAGTGTTTTAAAAATACAAGTATACCAGTAATTACAGTTTCATTCACGTTTTGGCAAATTTAATTTTTATAGACAAAACAATATAATGTAATCATTGATTAAATTTTGTCGATTAATTATTTCCGTAAATGAAAAAGATTATTGAAATTTACTTGAGTCATAATTAGAAATCAGATGAAAATCTGAAATTTTCTAAGTAAAAAACTTCTACTGTTAACATTCGATATGAAAAAAAGTAAACGTATTTTAGATTTTCAAACAATTGCAAATTTCTTTTTCAGTTTGGAATAAATATTTTTGGGTAGATAAAGAATTCAGAATTGTCGTAAATATTTCCAAATGAATGAACGTTTTGTGTATATGTATTAGCAAAAAAATGTCAAGTAATTAATATGTTTACTTAAAAAAATCACTAATCAGCACATCCGCTAAGTGCTGGTGTAAGATAATTAAATTTTACGACTTTTCCGTCTGAGAATGTATTGATGAGTATCATGTATCATATTAATAATATGTATTAGAATTGCATACATATATTTAGTCGAATTTTTACAACCAGAGCAAGCTGTATTATAAAACCACACTTGTGTAATTTAATACAAAAGTAAATTTTTCTGTACTTAAAATTTAATTTTGTATTATTTCGCGAAAGATAACTGCGGGATATGACAAGACTTATATACGGGAAGTTAGTTGTTTTCGCCTATATTAGTGCAAACTTTTTTTCGGCGAATAGTTTTGTTTTTGCCGTGAGGGTCGGCCAAAGTTACCGTCGGAACATGAAATCAGATAGAAAACGCAGAGCGGTACTTCGGATAGTGCATTTACGAAAATTGCTAATGTTTTGGACAGTTTGTTAGCTTTACTTGTAATTCTTACAAGTAAACTACTATGAGCTTTGTGAAGTGGAAAGTGCGGTACTTAAAAGTATATTCGAAGGTGCTTCCGAAGAATAGTTAATCAGTGAGATAGAGGCAACTGATAAATACAGTGCAAGGTACTTTGAGTCATCAAGTGTAAAAGGTAAGGGCAAATTTAAATTACCTCAAATCGAGTTAAAAAATTATTTAGAGGTTCTTTAACTTGAGACCTCAGACAAAACCTGCTGACAAATTTGCGGTGATATTGTATCCTCTTATTGAGTCACGTTTGCCAGAACATATGATTCGACTATTACATCTTGTTTCCGTGTCCGTGGAAAATGTCGGAGAAACTGCAGAAGTTACAACTTTAGAAACAAGATTGAGCGAGCTAATGAGCTTTTTACAGAGTGAATTTCAAAATAAAGAAGTAATTGATTTAGTGACGGAAAGTTTTGGTTTACCGACTAAAAATAAATATAAATTCAATAGCCTTGTTGCCAAGAAAAATGTAAAATTATCTATGCATGGAACTGATCTACCACTGCTGGGTTAATGAATTATGAGGTTTACGGAAAGTAGCTGCATGACGTTACAATAAATACATTTTTTAGTGTTCTACATCTATTTTCAATACTTGGAAATGTTAAAACAAAACAACATCTTCCTTATCTTTCCCATAAAGGGTATATTCATTATCCACTGTTCGATTTCATTCCGCTTACGCTTCCAATATCCAACAGCTACTTCTCCGACATCTAAATCTCAAGAAACCTTCTTTATTGATTCACCCTTGTCCAATCTCTTAATTGTATTCTCTTTTGTTTTCAAAGGTGCAATTACTCGTTTCCGCTTTCCACTCATATTGCACAGAAAGATTCTCTCTTACACTCACACAAATCAACTTATGAAAAATTAATTATGAAACCGAAACTAATAACTGGAATAAATTCACAAAACAGTACATAAAAGGAAAAATACTACCGTACAGATTCTTAATTTGACGATCTGAACGACACCAAACAAATCGGTAGTCACCAAACAAAGGAACAGGAAGTTGTAGACAAAACACCACACAGAAATTTCTGCGCATGAAATCTCTTTCACATCAGCTTGACCTAAAGCATACCTTACAAATAATTCTCTTCTTATCAATAATCCAAAATTTTCAATTGATTGCCCATATAACAGCTGCCGATATATCTTCTGACCATCGACCCTTTTTTTATTACTCCATAATAAAGGTAAATAAAGGTAAAACTGCTATTGTTTCCCGGGAACTCTTACAAGTAAATAATACAATGAGTTTTGTGAAGTGGAGAGTACGGTACTAAAAAGTATATTCGAAGAAGCTTCCGAAGAAGCGCAAATTTAAATTACCGCCAATCGAGTTCAAAAATTATTCAGAGATTGCAGTCTAGGTTTGGCATAGAGGACCTCCAAATTGAAGTTTACATTAGAAAGCTCTCAAAGTTAATTTTAAGTCGAGTTTCTTATTAATATATATATATATATATATATATATATATATATATATATATATATATATATATATATATATATATGTATATATATATATATATTTATATATATATATATATATATATATATATATATATATATTTATATATATATATATATAAATATATATATAAATATATATATAAATAAATATATATATAAATATATATATATATATATATATATATATATATATATATATATATATATATATATATAATACAAAAAAAAACAAAACAACAATTTAACTTCAAAGGTAAATGAACCTCAACGCAACACGATACAAAAATTAAAAAATTATGTGGAATGATGCCATCCAAAAATTAGAATTTGTGAAACTTTAAAAATAATACGATAGCTAATTTCAACCACCGCACCGTTCAACTTACATTGCAGAAGACTGCCGACCGTGAGCGAACTATACCGATTCTCCCGATCGTATATTATATTTTCAGTTTCAGTACTTGGCCTCATTGGCAACACTGTCGCTGTTCAGATAATTAAATTTCGAGAAAATCAAAATATTAAAATATGATGCACGTGCTGCCATCTATTTAAAAAATTGTTAAACGTTAGTTTATTTGAACACCTCTTATTTTAACTGCGGCTTGAACATACCCCCTTAACAACTAATCTTCTTCAAGTGCCATCTCCACAGCAGAGGTCCGCAATCATCATAGCTATTCGGTCTTTTGAGACGGCTGCTCTGAAAAGTCCATTTGATGTACATCCATACCACTCTCTTAGGTTGCGCAGCCATGATATTCTACGCCTTCCTATGCTTCTCTTTCCTTGGAGCTTTCCCTGCGTAATCAGTTTGAGCAAGGTATATTTCTCTCCACGTGTAATATTTCCGAGATAGTACAACCTTACTCATTAACTCTTATTGATATTCTACCTTACTCTTGTTTTGTATACTTTCTCTTATATTATGCCTAAACTGTCATGCGTACCCTAAGGCACTGTTTTACCTTTTGTCTACCTGATATATCTAGAAACGAGCAAGTCACGTCTGGATGATTTTTTTGGGATTTTTACACGCTAATTATACCAAAAAAAATGCCATTCATTTTTTTCACGTTAAGAGTTTTGACTGTTAGAGGATAAATGTTTTCCGGTTTTTCTCGTGCAGCATTGGTCCTATTCCTAAAGGAGCTCTATGGTCTTCTCGTTTTTCACTGTATCATAATGTTATGGTTCTTCAATTAGAATAGTATTTCTTGTTCTTTGTTGGTTAGCAACGTAACATTCCAAAGTTGCTATCCCTAATTGTTTTAGTTTCTAATATCGTTTTTTCCTTATTCTCGTCGGGTTGTCATAACTTTTGTCAGTACTATTATTCGAGGCTACTCGCGTTAAACAGTTTTTATTTTTATTGCTTTTACTTCAAACATATTGTTGGCCTTATCTAAGAACCCTTTTTGTAAGGACCATTGCTTCCTTCCTCGTCAGTCCTGATTATTATTTCCAGTTCTGATACATTGTATAAACCAAACTAGCAAATTTATTGGTGATTAATTTTACTTATTCTTATAATGTAAAAGGACAAGATATTTTACTTCATATTTCCGTAAGTATAACAAACTCAAATAAAAAATTGTGCCTTAAAGAAATAAAACAAGTAGGTATTTAAGTTATTTTATTCTAACCAACCTCTTTTAAATGCCTGTTGAAACATAAAAATAAGTTTATCCTTTGCAGTTTGGCTGACATTTTCAATACTCACTGAGTACATTTGGTCGTTTCCACCTACATCCGTGTTTGGATGTATAATACCTAGAACCATAAATATAACTTGATAGACCACAGGTTCAGATACTCTTCTGAAACTGTCCAAAAATTGATCGTAACCGTATTTACTGTCCACTATTCCAGCTTTCTTTAAAGTGGTACTAAATACTTGGTAGTAATATTCAAGAAGATAATCAAAATGACTCCGAAGGTACTGTATCTGGACGCTAGTAATAAGGAAAAATATAAGATCCGTAGCACAGCTGACTGATCGATACATTTGAAAGTCAACAAACACAGTTTGTACTGGATTTCCATCTTCAAACCTCTGCATAATATTATTGGTCCACATGTCATAATGCACTAAAGTCTCAAAGTCATCTCTCACCATCTTTCCAAAGTAATTTTCAGTATTTTGTCGAAGCCCTGTCTTTAACTTTACAATAAAATTTTTAAACTGTGCTAATTGACTACTACATTCTTTATCAGTTTTTAATATGTCTTCGACGAGAGTCAACAAGTTTGCAGGTTGTTCAAAAAATTCGGATCTTTTCTTTAAATCAAGGTAGTTGGGTTTTAGACCCCGAGCGTTGGATCTAATTTTAGCCTCATACGTTTCTGGCTCAAGAAGCCTCATCGCTAATAGTTCAGCATGTAACGTTGCCATGTTATTAAGGACTATTTTTGCTCCGTTTAAGTCAAATCCCTTCATCCGGTCCAAATTTTTAAATCCTAAAAAATAAATAAATAGTATTTATTAGTATGACTTTAACATAATATATATATATATATATATATATATATATATATATATATATATATATATATATATATATATATATATATATATAGTCTAAATAAATAAATATAAATAAAGTAAATAAATATAGTCGTTATGTTGTTACTTGGTATAAAAGGCCCCTCAGGCAGATCGTATGCAGATGGCAGGACCCCACTCGGATGCTCAGCCGGTGGGGAGAACAAAATTTATTTTGTAAAATTGGCGGCTGAGTTAACGAGCACACACTTTTTTCGGACAGAGAGTCCAGGTTGGTGGCTTTCTGTTCAGAACAAACACTTTTTTCTTCTTAGGGAAACAAGTCTCGATGTCAAGTTACAGTAGCTTCAATAGAGTCAGTAAAAAAAGGTGGAAAGCCTGGGGGTCAGATAAGTACCACTTTAATATCGCAGTGTGACTGGTTTGGAGAAACAGTCTTTGGAAGCCATACCTTTGGACGTGTTGACAACTTCACATACCTTGGGTCGCTATTGACTGCTACCAATAAAACAAGCGAAGAAATTAAAACACAAATAAATCTTACAAATAGGGCATACTATGGACTCCGAAAGCATTTCCACTCAAAAAACATTCAAAGAAGAACTAAAATTATTATATACAAAACATTGCTGAGACCGGTCCTCACATATGGAGCAGAAACATGGACTCTAACGCAGAAAGATGAGTGACTATTGGGAACATTTGAGCGTAAAATACTCCGCAAAATATTTGGAGCTATAAACGAGAGTAGCGCAGAAGTTATAATTTTGAATTGTACCAGCTCATTGATAAGCCAGATGTCATAAAGTTAATTAAAACACAGCGACTTAGATGGGCTGGACACACAATACGAATGCCAGAAAATACGATTGCTAAAAAGCTAACACGAACACCTGTAGGAAGAAGAAGCAAAGGCCGACCGCGAATTAGGTGGTTAGATGGAGTTGAATCCGACTTACGGATAATAAAAATCAGAAGATGGCAACATGTTGCCAGAAACCGAACAGAATGGCGACGAATCTTAGAGCAGGCCAAGATTCACAAAGGATCGTCGAGCTAAAGATGATGATGATGATGATGACATAAATGTTTGTATGCACTGCGGGTATTAATAGATGTATATTATGCCCTCGGGCAACTCACAGACCCTCGGGCCAGAGGCCCTTGGGTTTGTAACATCGTTACCCTCTGGGCATAATCATCTATTTAATACCCTTTGTACATAAATAAAAAAAAAACGTTTTTAAAATTGTAACGAATAAAAATTTAACAAAATATTTATTTTACAACGGTTACGTAAGAAAAACTTTGCCAATACAGTTAAGAAATAAAATACTGCGTGACGGGAATTTTCGTACAATCAGTAATCAAAAGGTAAATTTACTTATATTATTAGCGGCACCACTCATGACTAAATTGCAGTAAAACTCAACAAATAAATAAAACTAAGACCAAGGACTAAAAGAATGTTCTAATACATGAAAAATGTTTTTTAATGCATATATTGACAGTATGATAGGAAAATTGGATAAAAGATAACGGACAGATATAACAATCGACAAATATAGGCAAATAAAACAATACTGTTTACCCATGATAGTTGATGATTCAAAAAATTCGAAAAGTGAGCTACAAATATACATATACCGACTATGTATAGTGTATATAAAATTCAAATAAACAAAAAATTACTTTATTCCCTATTATTTGTGTATCCAAAATGATATACAAAAGGAATAGCTTCTTTTGCAAAAAAAAAACAACAAAGACGACAGACGTTGCAAGACCCTGATAGTAAAACTAAAAACTAAATCGAATTTATAAACACTGATAAAAAATATACTGTTAAAGATTTCACTGTAGTGAATAAATCTGACACTTCTAGTAACCGTCCTTCGATATGTTAAAGCGACAGTAAAAATACTAGTAAGCGTGGAAGGATCTAAAATGCTTAAAAATAAAAATAACAGACTGTGGATACCACTAGTAGAATTAATCTAGAACTAATCTAGAATTTAAATTATACATATCTGTCTAACTAAACCTGAAACTTTCAACACATGATACCAACAGTCTTAAAAACACGATTATCAAAACATTCGCTGATGCAAAGGATTTCTAAAATAAGACAGAAAGAACATAAACGGAAATATTGCGAGTAAAAGAGACCAAAGCGATGGAAAATTTTATAAAAACTTTTGAATCTGTATCCCTCTTTTGTATCCATTTTGTCTCCCGTTTTCCTTTCTCTAGGCAAATAAATAAATTACAGAAAAAATTTTTAGTTTTCAACCAAATCGACTTCCACAAATAGAAGGCAGACATTCCTTTCCCAGATGAAGATACTAATGCTCTAAATCCATCTATGTTGGCCTATTTTTTTAATGGAAATTGTAAAAATATAAACACTATACAACATAAAGACTACCAACTTTATTTTAGATTTCGTATGGATGAAAAGGATAAAAATTCGCTCCCAAAATTAAGCTATACCAGTTGCTCAATAACGTTAAGAGTTTGGCTTTAATGAAGTCACAAATCTATTGCATTTTTAATACCAATGATTTAAAGTGAACTTCCGAATTATGAAAATGACTGATGCTTTTGCATGACTTCAATACGAGGATTCTCCAGCAATAACAAAAAGATGGATGATAAAAATATTTCTGGTGCTTTCTAAGGCAATGCGATTTGAACAAACTTGTTCCAGATTTATTGCTACCAAAATTTAGGGCTTGATTAATTAGATTAGGATTAAAATAATGAAATCTGCAATAGTGAAAACTAGTTTCTAAAAACTAAAATAAGAAGAATTTGAAGAATGGAGACTTTTCATCGGTACTTGTAAGATTACTTAAGCTGTATTTCTCCAAAACGATAATAAATAACCAAATAAATGTACAAATTTATAGACATTAGTTGAGAAGAATAACTTATACTTACTGGATTACAGGGATGATATACTAAGTTTTACAGTTTTGATCTGAAAAGTACAGTCGTGTAATAGATGAACGCTGCCTATTGAAAAATGATGACAAAGAAAAAGAGAAAAATAATAGGAACACTAAACTTACTACTCTGGTCAAAAACTCTTTCTAAACAAAAAAATATACAGTTATAAAAAATCATTTTTAAAATCGTTGTACTTTATGAATGCAAAACTCGTCAACTCATAAAGAGAACTAACAAAAACTCGAAATTGGAAATGGAGAATGATGTACTTGACAAATGAAAGCATGAGACAAATCATAAAGAAACAACCATCGTTTAAGAAATACAGCAAACACAGCTTATTTAATACGGATATGTACAGAGAAAAACAGACCATTGCCTACAGAAGATAATTTTAGATTGGGAGTCACCTGAGCAAAAAATCGGGAAAGACCAAAAACAAATTGGCTTAATATATTGATAACCGGAAGCGTAGGACGCCATAAACCGGACTTTATATATGGAAAAGTTTGACACCTGGAGTTACAAATGTTTCTCAAAAATTTTTAGTACCACGAAACAAAATTTTACTACTACTATTTCACGTTAAACTAGTATTCCTAAAAATTAAAACGTAATGAGCTTCTTGGAAGCAAGGAACTGTCCTTGGTATCTGAGGAATGTGGTCACTGATTATCTTTCCGAGAAAAAAATTGTGGTGGAAAATAATGTGATGGTGGATGTAATGGCTGCGGTCCCGCAGAGCTCCTGGGTCCGACGCTGTGGAACCTGGCATATGACGGGGTCTTATGGGGAGGGTGTGGCCCCTTCGCATTCGCGGACGACCTTAGTATGCTGGTGGTGGCACGGGACAGGGAGGAACTCTTGCTTCGGATTATGCGTGCGTGTGTCCTGGTTATGGATTGGATGAGTGAGCATGATCTTTTGGTCGCGGAGGATAAGACGGAGGCCGTAGCACTCACAGGCTACAGAAAGAGGGATACGGTTGACTTTGAGTGCACGGGAGCGAGAGTGACGATTAAAATGTACGTCAAGTATCTGGGGGTTACCCTCCACCAGGGTGTGAGTTGAGGGAAACATTTGAGGGCAGTAACCCGCAGAGCTATTCAGAGAATGGCTGCGCTAGGGAGGATAATACTTAATATCGGTGAACCCAAATCTGAAAGGAGAAGGGCGCTTCACGGTGTTGTGCAGTCTGCCATCCTCTACGCAGCCCCAGTCTGGAGTGGGGCGGTAGAAATACCAACTTAAAACAGTCTCATGGTGTGCGTGGTCAGAACTTGTATATTGCGAGTAGCAGGTGCCTACAGTACTGTATCAGCTGCCGCTCTGTGAGTAATCAACGGCTGTGTTCCTTTACATATGCTGACAGATGAAAGGACTAGGATTTATAGTCGGAGGGGCGAAACATTGGAGAGCGAGAGATGAATGAGTTAAGACTGGCCTAGAGATTATTTTCAATTGGTTAGTGGCAGCAATAGTGGAAGGCAACACGTGATGTGGCGAAGGCACCTTGAAGCTGGTGGGCATAGGCAGCTGGATTATTATCTGACGCTGATACTTACATGCCATGGCTGCAGAATCTACATTTTGGTGTAAAATGAACCGTTCTCTCAGAAATAACACTTTAAGCTACCGTCAATGTAGAATATCAGTTACGCCCGCGAAATCAATGATCAATAAATGTTTCAGATAAAATTTAATTATTAGAAGAACTTTTCACTAAGTAACAAAAACAAAATTTGTTTAATTTACAAATGTTTGTAGTTTGAGAACGATTTCCAAAGTGGAAATTGAAACGTCAATAAACGTACTTTAATCTTTAAATTGTGGCTTATTCCCATTTAAATAGTAATTATAAAGTTATGGACTCATGGACTCATTTTATGATACAATGGGTGCAGTTAGAATTCCAAATAGTACTAATAGTGAAGAATCAGATCTCTCCGATATAGACGGCACAAATGAGACGATATTGTGTCAAGATAGTGACAATGAGGAG